CACCTCAGGGAACAAATGATAGTTTCTTTAAAATCATAAACAAACACCTAGACTTGAAAATGTTTTTGCTTATCCTGTCCTAGAAGAACATCTATATGAAAAGAAAATCTATAATCTTGAAAATGCTTAAGGAACATGGAAAACAACCCCAAGAGAAATTAGTTGGTTGTTCTTAAAAGTGATTATTACCAAGTTAGAACACATCTATTTTATTAAGTCTACATAAAGAGACCTCTATTTGTGAGATAGGCAGGAAAGACTTTTTAAAACTCCAAAGCATCAATTTTAAATAGAAGAACTGAATAATTTAATTATGTTAAAATTGAGAATTTCTTATAAATGTTCACCATGGCAAAGATAAAGAAAAATGACGGATTGTGAAAAATCTCTGTCATGTAAGTTAACAAAGGACCAAGAAACACCAGAATATTAAACAGAAAAATATAGAAATTCCACTTTTAAAAAATAGGCATAAGATAATAACAGGCAATTCATAAAAATGGTTACTCAAAAACCTAGTAAGTTTATGAGAAGATTCTTAAACTCATTATTACTTAAAGAAATATAATTACAACAACATTGGGCTAGTTTATCATTTGATCTCTCAGGTGTCTTTATGCAAGAGATCAGTCATGCATGTCCACATTGCTACATTTGAATTCTTAGTTTTGCTAAACTGAAGGACAAACATGGAGCTTGGTGATTCAAGCCAGGTAAATGCTGCTCCATGAGTATGTAGCCAGCCTACAAAACCACATTTCTAGCTTGTTCTTCTAACTTCTGACTTTCCTGTCAAATCTATTTTCCATTTTTATTCCCAGCACTATTTTTATATAGCTCTTTGAAACCCCTCTGGAGAGAGAAAAGTATGCTTCCACATTTAAATAATCAGAATTGTAATGTGTGTAACAACCCTGAAATTCTTATTTTTGGTTTGAGGCAGGAACTCATCTAGAGAAAACACAGATAAAATAGAAGTAGCATAAATATTAAAAATATATATATATGTCCTGAGGAAGAAAATGAGACATGAAGAGGCTAAGTAGCTCATCCAAGGCCACAAAGCTAATCAGCAGTACAGCTGGAATTTGAGCTCAAGGGTTTTGATCAGAGATCATGGTCTTGACCACAGGCTTGGAAGTGGAGTTTTGCTGCTTTTATAAAATTTTTTTTTATTAATTACTTTATCAACCTTACTCTCTGTCAGGCACAGTTTTGAATACTGGGGCCACAGAGATGATACTCACTTCCCCTAGTGGGGAGAAGTGCCAAACTGATATTTCACTATGTGCCTAATGAATTCAGCATGATAAGTGCACTGGTGGTGACATATCAGGGTATTATGAGCACTGAGAGCAGGAAGACCTAATTCAGCTCGGAGAGGTCCCAAAGGCTTTCTGAAGAAAAGGTCAGATGAGCTAGAGTTAGCCATGAGGGGTTTGGGGAGGCAGAGCAACTTTCAGCAGCTAAAGACAATGTCGACAAAGGCACCCTGAAGTTCAATGTGCTGACTAAGAGAACGTCAGGTGGAAACGGGGCTGAAATAAGAAAAGATAGTCAGAGCTCAGATCTTGGAGGGCTTTTGGATACTGGCAAAGAGTTTGGACTTAATCCCATGAATGAATGGAGATTATAGAGTTATTGATAAGACAGTCATATAAACGGGTATATTTTAAATAGTCAGGGTGGCAGGCTGGAAATGGATTTAAAAATCTATTAGTCAAAATAAGGCAAATTGTGCTGTGGTAACAAATAAATCTCCAAATCTCAGTGAGTTAATGTAATAATAGATTATTTGTTAAGCACCCAAGGTCTGGAAATGGCCGGATAGCCCTCCTTCATCTGGTAGCTGTACCATCTGGAATGCATCCTTCCAGGTTACAGAGGAAGGGACGAGAGCTGGAGGATACTGCAGAATGTTTATAAGGGTTGGGACTAGATGTGGCTTTCATCAAATCCTCCCATATCTCATCGTCCAGGACCCTGTGACATGACCTCGCACAAACTGCAAGAGGCTTAAGGTAAGCACTGAGGGTCGGCCATGAAATAGGGCACTTCTTTCAGTCTTGTTTATAATAGGCCAAATATACCCACATATTCTTATTGTATTGTTTGAGGAAAAGAATGACTGTTTATTCATTTATTCAATTAACTCAACAAATGTATTGAGCACCTACTATGATCCAGGCCCTGTTATAAGTACCAGGCGTACAGTTTACTCGTGTTACTTTCCTGTGGGCAAACTCTTCTTCGACTCTCCACTCCCTTGATGATGTGTGAAAGGATAGAGTAATAGAGTAAGTGAGGTGGAAGGTGAAACACGGGCCAGATCCTGTGTCTTACTGGCCATAGTAAGGACTTCAACTTTGAGTGAAATAAAGGGATATTAGAACATCTGTGCGAGGGAGTCACATGATTTGGCTTATTTTTAAAAAGATCATTCTTGCTGCTCTGTTGAGAACAGACATAAGGTGGGAGGGTGGAAGCACTGGCCTCTATTAGGAAGTTATGCAGTCATCCAAGTGAGCAGTGATGGTGGGTCAGACCAGGACAGAAGCACAGAGCTGGTGAAAAGTAGTCAGGTTTTGGATACGTATTATGAAGATAAGGTATTTAATATTGAAGATACCATCATCAGAGTTTGAGGGCGATTCAGATGTAATGTTTGAGGAAAGGAAGGTCTTCACTTGAGCTCCTGGAGAATGGGGTTGCAGTCAACTGATGGGAGATCAGCCTTAATCATTAAAATTGTTCTGAGATGGCTTCAGAAGGGCCCTAGGGAGCATTTTCTAAATTATTCAGATCCTTTGGGTGCTTCCTTTAGAATTTCAAATAATAACAATGTTTATGGAAAAGCCTTTTTCTTAGATTTAAAGCTTAGATCCAAACATTCTCACAATGACTAGATTTCATATAAAATCTATAGATCTATCTACCTATAAAGAAAACTAGTTGGATAGCAAATTATGTAACTATCTTTTCTGAAAAGCCAAGTCAGCAAATATTAAGCTATATTACATTCATTTTTATGTAACAATTTATTTATTTCTTGTTAGGGGCATGTTTGCTTTATGGGAACTGCTCATATTTCTAAATCTCTTATATAAATAAAACTGATTATTATTATTGTTATTATTAATAATATATTAGGAATACATTAAATAAGGTTTGCTACTGTACCTTGGTGATTTGGTTCACCACTGAGTTAGCAGACCAGGTGCTCATATTTAATTTGGATTTTAATGACAGCAGAGAATGGGGGAAGAACATTTTAGGCATATAGAACAGGATACATGAATGCATGGATGTAAAAGACAGTGGTCAATTCATGGAGATCATATACTTTAGGGGCCATGAAAGGGGACCAGTTTGGGTTTGGAGTTGCAAGGGGTAGGAAACCGAGGCTGGTAATGCCTGGTGAGATTGATTATGAAATTATATATGGGTAACTTATAAATCTACTTATATGTATAATAAAAGCTTCAATTTTATCTTTTAAGTACAATAAAGAAAATGATGTTGAAAATGTAAAAGAAGAATTGAAAAACTTTGTGGGAGGAAGATAGAGTGTAGAGAATAGACAAAGGGAAGGCATTAGAAAGCCACCCAACAGCACAATATAAGTGAGAGGCCATTTAATCCCTAGGAATCTCAGAGACCCACGTTTCTAAACTAGAGCACTCTAGCATGGGTGACAAGCCAAAGCTATGACGATTATGTTGTTATATACTGTTTTGCTTATATCATGACAAACATCAGCTTTAGTTTTTTTTTCTCCTATGAGGCTATGGAATCAAAGACTCCAGAAAGATCTAATACCACAGAAACCTAGCTTGAAACCTAACTTGAAAGATTCTCTCTCGCCTTCACCCACCATATACTTTCTACAACCTGCCCCACTCAAGTGACTAGGAAGTTCCACAGGTAATTGCACAGTTTTCAATATCTAGTGGAGCAAATACATTCTTCAGGGAAGTAGACAGGCAGTAGGTACATGTTAAAAAGCTATCTCCAAACACAAGTTTTATAGAAGTGGTAGCAGATTTTAATATATAAATCATAGCATGCGTTAGAAAACTTCAATGCAACAGAAAGAAACATCACATATAAAGAGGGAAGTAACATGTGAAACCACATAACCATCAGAGGATTTGTATCCAGAATATATTTTAAAAATTTATACAAATTAATAAGTAAACTACAAGCGGGCCAAGAGAAAAATCAGCAAAAGATTAATAGGCAGTTCACAGAAGATAAAACTTAAGTGTTCATTGAGCACATGTGAAAAGATGTTCAAACATACCCATATTAAAGGCGTGCTCATCTCTGAAGGAGGAGGAAGAGAGGGGAACGGAATTTGAAAAGGGAAAGAGCAATGCCATTTCATGTATAACATTTAATATCTTTAAACAATAAAAAGCAGAGCAAACATTGCTAAATGCTAACATCGGTCATCTAGATGGTAAATATATGCATGATTGATTTACTTTCTGTATTTCCTTTTGTATTTTGAAATATCGCTTAATAATAAATTTATATTCTATATATGGCAATTTTACGATCCTGTTCTATAAAAATGTCTCCATCTGTCACTTTGATGAGGTAAAATGGTAAGGGAGGCAGTATGAATTAGGGGAAGAACATAGGAGCAGGAGTTAGAATCCTAAATCTAGTCCCAAATCTGCCACTTGCCCACTGTGTGACCCTGAGTAAATCACTGAATTCTAAAACTGACTCCTCACCTGAAAAACCTGAACAATAATATCCATCTTTACTAAAGTTACTGTAAGGAGTGAATTATTTCATGTACATAAAAGTTACTTAAGGAGTTAATTATTTCATGTATATAAAATGATGTTCAAATGTAAAGAAAACATATCAAAATTCTCAAAGCCTAAAGTTAATGTGAAATTAAACAAACATACTTTCCTATTTACTGTCATTCTAGGCTTATGGAAACAGACATTAGAAACAGAGAGTAGACACACATCTCTTCTTACCGGGTCTATTAGCTGGGAATACAGTTCATGGCAATTGTCAAAAATATACTTGTAGGTAGAATCCAGGCAAGCTCTGACACAGTCCTTCACCACCATGCTGGCCTTTGGAGGGTTTTGCAGCTCCAGAACCTGACAGACAAATTATTTTCTTAAATCCAAAAGTAGAACACTGCAATACAGTATAAGCAAATCAAATAATATCCAATAAATGTTTATAGTTGATTTTTCTGTGTTTGGAAAAAATGTGATCTTAGAAATGTTTTAAATGTCTTAATATCCACTTTAACTTTCTGATATGACAACTCAGTGAAAATGGTCCTAGTTGTAAACATTCAAATAGAAACACTTAAAGCGACCAATCACATCATCATTTCATTCATTCATTCATTCATTCCATTCCATCATTCAACAATTATTTATCACCTATTATATGCCAGACATTGTGATACAGCAATGAATAACAGAAACAAAAATCCCTTTCCTTGTGCACCTAAATTCTAGTAGATAACAAACAAAATAAATCAGTAACACATATTACATGATGATGCATGTTGAACAGTAACAGAGAAAAGGACAAAGGGGGTATTTCATGGGACTAGAATTAACACACAGGATAGCAATAGCAGATGAACTCAGAGACGTAAGACCAAGAGACCAGGGGGGAAATCATATAGTCGTATATACATTGTAAGAACCTTAGCTTTGAGCCGAGCGTGGAGAAATTGGACTGTTTGAGCAGAAGAGCAAAGTGACCTTATTAATCTTTTTCAAAAGGCTCCCTTATGCTCCCTTAAGGTGGGCTATGGAAAAAGTAAAAAGACCAGTGATAAGAATAGTGCCATAATCCAGCCAAGAGAACACAGTGGTTGGAATATAGTGGTAAGCTAGGAGCTGTTATAAGAAATCATACTCTAGTTAATTTTGGAAGAAACAGCTAACAGGATTTTCTGACAGATTGTAAGATTGGTGTGAGAGAGAGGAGTCAGGACCCCAAGGTTTGAGCCTGATTAATCGGTACAATGCAAGTTGCCTCAATTTAGATGGGTAAGACTGTGCTTGGGAGATCAGGAGTTCAGTTTTGGACAGGTTGAGACTGAGAAGACGGTTATGCATACAATCAGAATTCAAGTAGACATCTCAGCAAATAAGTCTGGAGAAGTGGAGATGCCTGGGCTAGAGATATAAATTTGGAAATTATTAGCTTAGAGAAGTATTTAAAGAAATGAGACTAGATGATCATGGTTAGAGAATAGGTCCAAGAAATAAACCCTGGGTTAGTCTAGCCCTATGACATCAGGCGAATGAGAAAGAACACAGTAATGAAGACCAGAAAAAAAGCAGCCAATGAGATAGGAGGAAAATTCTCCTGACTGATCTATAGATTAACTGCAACCCCAATCAAAATTCCAACAAGAACTCACCTAAACAATTCTGAAAAAGAAGAAAAAGGTGGAGGACTCACATTATTTGACTTTAAGATTTACTATAAGGCTACAGTAATCAAGGAAATGGTGGAAGTACAGATATCTGAACAGTACGGAGGGTCCAGAAATACACCCAAATAAACATCACTAATTGATTATTTTAAAATGAGGCAAATGCCATTCAATGGATAGTTGTTTCAATATATGGTGCTCAAACTACTGAACATGAATATGCAAAAAAAAATCCTTGACTCATTCCTCAGAGCTTATCTGAAAACTCTCAAAATGGAACATTGGACTAAATATAAAAGGTAAAATAAAACTATTAGAAGAAACAGGAAATTCTTTTTATGACCTTGCTTTAGTCAGGCGCACTATCCATAGTTGGAAAAATTGATAAAGTAGACTTCATCAACAATAAAACTTACATTGTGCAGAAGATACTGTTAGAAAATTAAAGGCAAAAAACAGACAGGGAGAAAATATTAGCAAATTAAGTATCTGATGCAAGACTTACACCTAGGGTATATTAAGAATTCTTAATACTCAACAAAAAGAAAACAACCTAATGAAAACTAGGCAAAATATTTCAGCAGATTGTTCATAAAAGAAACTCACACAGCAAATCAGGCCAAGAAAGGATAATCAACAATATCAATTAACAGAGAAAATTAAGACCACAATAAGATACTTCATTCCTATTAGAATGGCTAAAAAATAATTAATTAAAACCACAGAAAATGCCAAGAGCTTCACCAAAAGGTGTACAGCAACTGGAACTGGAATTCTCATACACTGTGGCTGGGAATGCAAAATTGTACAACTGCTTTGAAAAACAATTTGGCATTTCTTGTAAAAATAAGCATATATTTACCAAATGACCGAGGAAGCTCACTTTTAGGTGTTTATCTGAGGAAAGTGAAAACTTATGTTTACTAAAAGTACATACATGAATATTTTTAACAATTTTATTTATTATTATTCCAAACTGGAAACAACCCAAGTGCCTATAGTTATGTCTATAAAACAAAGAATTACTATTCAGAAATAAAAACGAATAAATTGTTGATACACTGAACAAAATGAATAGCCGATGTGTTACACTACATAGTATATTATTTCATTTACATGAAATACATTCTGGAAAAGGTAAAACCACTAGGGACAACAACAGATAAGTGGCTGCCAGGGAACGGGAGAGGGACTGACTATACAGGAGCAGCACATGGGAATTCCAGAGTCATACGGAATGTGCTATATCTTTTTTTTTTTTTTGAAGGTTTTATTGGGGAATTGGGGGAGGGGAACGGCGTTGGGGAATTGGGGAAGGGAAACAGACAAGGTGCTGTCCTTTTGTTCTTCAGTCTAGTTATGGAGGATGTTGCTTCACTAGCCCATGTTGGTATTATCATTGCGTTCTTCCTGGCTGAGGTGGATCGGTCGCCGGCCACTGGACAGCTGCTCATGGCAGCTCACGCCAGCTGCTGGCCACTTACACTGGCTGCCGGCCACTCACGGTAGCTCACGGCAGCCCACGGCAGCCCACTGCAGCCCCACAGCAGCCTACATCGTAGCTGGTGACTCATGGCAGCCCAGCCCCAAGTTGGGCTGTTGTTCACCATCTTAGCTGTAGAGGGCGCAGTTCATTGGCCCATGTGGGAACTGAACCAGCGGCCCTGCTGCTCAGAGCTCATGCTTCCAAGCCAACTCTTAACCAACGAGCCACTCGGCTGGCCCCAGAATGTGCTATATCTTGATTGTAGTAGTGGTTATATAATTACATATTTGTCAAAACTATACAATGAAAGGAGTGAATTTGACTGACTGTAATGAGGTAAAATGATAATGAGAGGAGGAAATTTGTACAAAACATAATGGGGAAAACGAAATTGGAAAGAAAATGTAAAGAGGGCTGTTTTGAGGAGTTTTGATAGTAAAGGCAAAGACAAATTAGGGTATTAGCTCTAAAAGAAAGTGGAGTCAAGCAATGTTTTTAAGGTTGGAAAATTAATGGCTTGTTTGCTGATGGAGAATATCCATCCAGGAGAGAGGGGAAATGTGATAACTCAGGGGGGTGAAGAGGATTGATGAAGCAATGTGTTAGTGCTGAAGAGGGGAGAAAATCAATTGCACAAGTGGGAAAGATGGCCTTTTCTAGAACAGACAGCTAATCGATAGTAATAAAAAAGAAGGAAGACTATATGGACACAGATGCAGGTAAGGAGGTAGATGGGGTGGGTGGCAGGGTCAGAGGGCGGAGCTTGGGGAAGCTCTCCAATGTTAGCTTCTGCTTTTTCAGTGAAATAGGAAGAAAAGTCATCAGCTGGTACTGAGGGTGGAGGAGGAGTTGCAACTTTGAGGAGATTTGTTTTCTAAAACCTGCCAAGGCTGGTGACTGAGGAATGGCAGATAGGTGGCGCATGGGCTGGGGCCCCCTACACTCTCCCCATTCCCTCATCCACTCAGTGACAACGGCAGGAATCGTTAGTCAACTCGTAAACTTGACCACTGAGTCTGGCTTGAGTCTCACTGTCATTCTTGACACATTTCTACCCGCTGGGGCCAGTAGATCAGAACTGACAAAAATTCTGTTTATTCCAGTCACCCATTTTAACCATGATTTTAAACCAAATGAACTTTAATGAATCTGAATGGTTGTTGATATAGTATGGTTTTGTTTCCTGCCTCTCATAGTATGAAATACCATTTTTAATGTTTCTAGTGAAAATAATCATGGAAAAACTGAAAAAAAATGTTTTTCTGTACAGGAATTTACTGAATAAACATTGTAAAACTCTATCCAAGATAAAAAATTTTTAGTCCATAACTTGACAAAGTAGTTTTAGGAAAGCTTTACATGAATTGCCTGTTACCAAAATTATGATTGCAGAGAACTTGCTATTAAAGCTGAGGAGATGTATCTAAAAAGAGATGCCTGCATATTTTGGTAGCTAATAGTTAAATATATTAATGGATTAAGCTATATTGTTATGTATTCATTGCCGGTGCTAAAAATGGAAGTGGCCACAATTGGGGTAAATTTAAAAGTGTCAGCTACTCTCTTGCAATAAAGAAGTCAGCAAGACATCTGAGTTAAAACAGAATTCAGAAATAAACTCCATTTCCATTTAACATTCTGACAGATTTTTTTTTTGGTGTCATGTCCACTTACTAAAGAGCTTTGTTTAAGATGGGTTTAATTTAAAACTAAATTTGAGCCAAATGTATCAGAATATTTTGTGTCTAGGATAATTCCTTTTCAACAAACTTACACTGGAAGATTAATTTAATTCAGGCAAAAGCAACATAGCTTAATTACTGAGACTGAACAGTACTGACTAACAGAAGGGTAAAGCCTAACAAGCTTTTGTATGGCAAAGGAAACTATCAAAAAAATGAAAAGGAAACCTGCTGAATGGGAGAAGATATTTGCAAATGATTTATCTGATAAGAGGTTAACATCCAAAATATATAAAAACTCATAAGTAAATGTCAAAAAACCAACAACAATCCAATTAAAAAATGGGCAAAGGACCTGAATAGACATTTTCCCAAAGAAGACGTACAGAAGGTCAACAGGTACATGAAAAGATGCTCAACATCACTAATCATCAGGGAAATGCAAATCAAAACCACAATGAGATATCACCTCACACCTGTCATAATTGCTATTGTCAAAAAGACAAAAAAATAACAATTGTTGGTAAGGATGTGGTGAAAAAGGAACCCTTGTACATTGCGGGTAGGAACGTAAATTGGTACAGCCACTATAAAAACAGTGTGGTTTCACAACAAATTAAAAATAGAATTATCATACAACCCAGCAGTCCCATTTTTGGATATTTATATGAAGAAAACCAAAACACCAATTTGAAAAAATATATGTACCCGTATATTCATTGTAACATTTTTTACAATAGCCAAAATATGGAAGCAACCTAGGTATCCACTGTTAGATGAATAAAGGAAATGTGAGACTCACACACAATGGAATATTATTCAGCCACAAATAAGAATGAAATCTTGCCATTTGCAAAAACATGGATGGACCTAGAGGGTATTATGCTAACTGAACTAAGTCAGGCAGAGAAAGACAAATATGATTTCCCTAATGTGTGAAATCTAAAAAACAAATAAGCAACCTAACAAAATAGAAACAGACCCAGATACAGAGAACTGGTGGATGCCAAAGGAACAGGAGTGGGGAATGGGTGAAATGAGTAAAGGGGTTTAAGGAGTAAACACTTCCAATTATAAAATAAATAAGTCATGGCAAAGTAATGGACAATATAGAAAATAAAATCAATAATACGGTAATAACTGCATGGTGACAGAAAAAACTAGATTTATCACGGTGATCACTTTTTAATGTACATAAATATTGAATCATTATGTTGTGCACCTGAACCTAATGTAATATTGTAAGTCAATTATACTTCAATAAAAGAGAAAGAAGGGTAAAATCAGGCTTTACCAGGAAATAAATGTGTGATATTACACCAAGATAGCGACAGAAATAAAATAAGTTACCTTCATCCTAAAAAAAGTGATACTTGTTAGCAGGTCAACAGTTGACTTCAGGTCTTGCAGTCTTTCAGCGTTGCTGGCAGGAAAGTTTTCCTGGTTAATTAGGAAAGAGAAAATGGGTAAATTATCAGCATTAAGCCCCTGGTGGAAAATAAACTAAAACTAGCTTTCTATGGAAGTAAATGGAAAGCGAACTGTGTAAAATGTTTAAAATATCCTTATAGTATTCTTGCAATATTTTTATAAAACATTACAGAAAGTCAACAATTTGGAAATATTCTCTTGTTAGTCTTTGAAAGCTATATCCTTGTCTTTATTCTCAAATGGAATAAAAATATACAGAACAATATTATCAATGCAATATTATTAAGTTATTCATTCTTGTTCATAAAATAGTGTTGCTACTAAAAGAGGGGATGATGGCATATATTTGAAAATATATTTTTATAATTTTCTCAAGATGGATAATTTTTCCCAGAAATACTTTGGGAAATTTTACATGTGCTACACTTACTTTTAATAAAAAAACCCAAAAACTTTTTAAAGTTAAAAAAATAAGCCTGCATTACATACTCGCTCTGTGAACTACTATGGATTTCATCGAAAAGTTTCTGTTAGTGAGATTTGGTGAGAAATATCATGCAGATCTTTAGACTTTTGAAGGAAAGGAAAGATGTACTCAAGAAAATGTTTAAGGAACAATTTTAACATTGAGAAATTTCTCATATTAACATGCTTTCAGATTGACTTTTCAAAGGGCTACCAGGAAAACCATGGCTAACTTTTAGCTATTCATGAACTTGAGTAGAGATGAGGTGTCTAAATGATGGTGAATGAGGTAGATTCAGGTCCCTCTTGCCCCCAAATATCTTTTTCATTGCCTAGTACAGCAGTTCTCATAGCATAGGTAGGCCACAGTTCCAACACTACAGGTGAGTTTGACAAAATTTGGTGTTACTATTTCCAAAAATATGCAATGAAGATACTAAAAAGTGAATGCAGGGGAAATACCTACATGCAGATATGAAAAGATGTTTAGGATAAAAACTATTAAAGAATGAAATAGTTATTACTATAGATTTTTTTTGGAAATAAAATTTGTAACTAATATCTTTGGTAACTGAGGTATTCTATAACTAAAATTATGTGTGTATTTACAAATACACATGCATGGAAATATTTGTGTGTGTGTGTGTATGTGTGTGCACATTTTTGAGTGTTTCACCTGGAGATGAAGTATAGAAATATTAATGATAAATTCAGGACAGCTTCAGAAAAACACATTGTACTGATGGAGTAGTGTATTAAACAAAGAGTCCCCATAAAAATCTCAAAAGCTGGGGAAACATCAGCAGGATATCTCAGTAACACGGGTGAGCTTTCAAGATGAAGACTGGACCGCATGTCTATTTCATAGGCGTAAATTAGCGGAGGGCCACTCAATCAGATCGTTATTAAGAGAACTATAAAAATTAAGCCACACACACACATATACACACAATATTGTTGCAGGCTTATATGTGGTGAGGTGCCTGAGTAGGGGACACCTGCTTGCTTACTTGGGGGACCTTCTAGTGGGAAAGGACCCGAGGTCCCATAATCAGGATTTTTACTTTTCCGTTACATAGCGAAGAATTTTTTGCAATATGACAGAAATCATCTGAGCCACATACAACGTTTAACTATTAGGCAAATAATTTTGTACATACCCTGTATTTTGACAGGTCAATCCTTAAAGAGTTGTGCAACTGGTCCAGCAGCTTTATAAATTTTTCCCTCTGTACAAAGAAAACACAAAATGGAAGAATGGAAATAAATGTTCTTTCTAAATGTAGTCCTTACAACAATTCTATGAGTTATTGTTCCCATTTTATAGAAAGGAAGGTTGAAATATGTCAATGACTTGTCTAAGATCACAGAGCTGGTATGTGACATAGATTCAAACTCAGGTCTCTGACACCAAATTCACACTCTTTCCAATAAGTCACACTCTTTTCAGTGTTGAATTAGAAAGTATCCAGAGAATTATGTTCTGTAGAAAGAGTCTAGACAACTGAATTGTCACAGCACTAATTCATAGCAATATGAGTCAGGAAAAGAAAATATAACCCACCTCTATCTAACCCCACACACCACCTCACCTCCCCAGAAATAACTTATAGTTTTTTATACTTCTCCCACCTCTGGAAGTGGGAAAAGCTGTTGTTTTTTTAAAAATGTTTTCAAAAAGCTTTTCCTGTTGGTAAAAACTACAGACTTCATAATCTGAAAGGACTGACGGCCTTTAAATGATCTTTATGATTTTTTGCTGAAAAAGGTATAAAATATCAGGCCAAAAAATACTGATGCTTCCCTCTGATGCTGTATCAGTGTTGGAATGACCTCTTCATAGAAGGATTTGAGGATAAGACCAAAAATTTTTGCTAATAAACATAAGGATGGGGTTCTATGGATTAAATAAATAAATTAGGTAAGGTAAAAACATCAAAGTTGCATGCAAAAATTCATAGGTAGGCCGTTTCACCATTCTGAGCCTCAGATTTCGAATCAAAAATGAAAAAATAGGAGGGTAGGAGTAAATGACAGTAAAGGTCTCTGTCTACATTAATATTCTGTAAACACCAGATTGCACTTTGGAAGACAGAAGCGAAAGTGGAATCTTTTCCTAGTTTCACATGCAAGGTGGATGTATGGGGCATATAACTCATATCCCTTGAAGCCACTTATCTTGATGAAGTGAGCTGAATATTAACAGGAGCTGATGAATTGTTCCTGAGTCTAAATTTCACTTTTCTGAGTAAACTGCCCTCATCAGTGAACAAAATTTGAGCGCTGCCTCAGAGTTAGCCCTTATGGGAGCAATAAAGGAGCCTAAGAAATGAACCTTGCCTTCCAAAAGCTTGCTACTTGTTAGGGCAGGTAAGACTCTTTAGTAAAGCTACTAAAAAATACAGATGAGTTGAATGTACTAGATTCTGCTTTTCATTCTCCATCATACCATGTTAGAGGAGCAGGCAACATATACTGTCCTTTATTCACCTCTTATCCCTCATCCACATGGGTCAGTGGCTCTCAATCAAAGCAGAAAAGAACTACAATCATTAGTTTATGCCACAGTAAAGTTATCATTCAATGACTGTAAAAGTCAATGTGTTCATGTCCTATCTCTGACCTCCTTATCTGACCTCTGTGATTGGTACAAATCATCAAGACAGCTGACATGACCCTAGTTGACCATGCTATGGCCCAAATCAGTGGCCCTGTTACCTACATTGGTACCCTCTGTTCTGGTCGCCCAATATCCATTCTTCCAGTCTTCCTTACTAATAGAACCTCGTGAGTCAAATGTGTCCACTATGAAATGCCCAACTTTCCAGACCTCTTTTCCTCTAGGAATGGCCATGTATAATAGTATGGGTTAGGCCAATGAAATGTATACAACTTATTAAAGGGGAAGAACTCAGCTAGCATATTATCAATGAATTATTGTTTGGAAAGATTCGAAGAGTGCTTGGCAGACAGTATTTGCTGCATTACTGTTTGCTACTTAATTCTTTGTCAAGCCTTTTTCCATTTGCCCTTTGTGTTTCTCTCAATTTCCTACTTGAAATGCAGCCTAGAAACTGGAAGGTCCAACAGCCATCTTGTGGCTATAAGGTGAAAAGCTAAACAATGGTAAGCATGTTGGAACTAGAAGCTAGAAGGCGTCCCAACACCTCACCCTAGCCATGTTTGCCCACCTTTTCAAAAAATTATAATCCTGAGCAGGTACACTAGCCATCAACTCCTTATTACCTCTGGGCTTAGGTTACATGGAAAAAAAATCTTACTTAGTTAACTTTGTTTAATTGAGTTTCTGCTTCATGCAGCTGAACAGAATTCTGACTGATACAGATCACAATTTGGTCTTCCTACCTAGGTCGTCAGTAACCAGGTGGAAAATTTACATTCAAGGAAAATAGCAAACTGTGGAGAAAACTGCCAGGCTGTTGTCATGAAATCTCAAATACTATCAGATGATGTGAAATTAAAAAGTGTGCTGCTGATTAAATCTTTATAGAGAGACTTTAAACAGCAGGGCAGCCTGAAATTTAATTTTATCTTCCATATTTCTATTTAACTAGAGTGAGATAGCTCTTGCAAGAGCAGAGGAGGCCTACCACCTGCATTGTATGACTTGCGCAATAAAAGACTGGGTGATTAAGAAATGTTGCCCCTGAGGGGCATACCACCATATCAGAAACTGCTGCATTCCTCAGCTCTTTGCATTGGGTGGACCACATATGCCTGGTATTTGGTAGGGGTTAAATCAATAACAATTATACTAAGTTTTAGCAGTTATCAAAAATTCAGGTTTAGCTGATAAGAATAACTCTAGACCAGGTGTCAGCAAACTGTAAAGAGCCAAAGAGTAAATATTTTCAGCTTTGTGGTCTTTGTCACAACTATTAAACTCTGTGTGGCACTGTATAATAGCGCAATACCTTCCATAGAGAATATGTAAACAAATGGGCCTGGTTGTTTTCCAATACAATTTTGTTTATGGACACTGAAATAGGAATTTCATATAATTTTCATGTGCCACAAAATAAGTCTTGTTTTGATTGTTCTTTCACCATTCAAAATGTAAAAATCATTCTTAGCTCATGGGCCATACAAAACCAGTTGGGTCACTTTTGACCCAAGGGCAGCGGGGAGATTTTGAGTAGCAACTGCTATCCCATAAGTGCACCCTTAGTAAGTGTCCCTAGCATCCTGGGAATTGGAAGGAAAAGCTGTGATAAGGAGGGGATGTAAAAACCCCTGCACTGTCCTGAGCTTCTCTCTTCCATGCCTGTCTTTCTCAGTGTCTCACTCCAATAGCGGGGGGTAGATATAACCTGAAACTAATGCCGTGTAAGCTTTGGGGGCCCTCACTTGCCTCAGCTTTCCTGGGAGAAGCCCTGGTCATGTGTTCACATGATCTTAGGTTTTTGGAACATTAGCAAGAATAAGGTAAAAATTATTCTGACCTGGACTAGCAAATTGTAAAATCTTTTTCGAGAGCATACCAAAAGCAGTCATTGAAGAAGAACAGAAACTTTTCAGCAGAAGTAATGCATAGGCTATTCTGATAAATTACTGTTAAATATATGAACATACTGCGCATACATTTATATTTCTTGTTGGTTTGAGATTAATACTGATACCAACAGAGATACCATAAGATTATAAAATGCTATAAAATAATGTTACCAATCACAAACTAATAAATGTCATTAATTCAAAGAGTATTTAAGGAGTCATTTCATAGGCAAACTTAAAAAGCACTGAGATGTTATCATTCACTGGCCAAGATGGCTTACCGCTTCCCCTCAGTTGGGCTATGCCTTAGACAGGCTTCTTTCTGACTGTAGGTCCTGGCCACCCTTATTTATTTTTAGAGCATTTTCTTTAGAAAAATTATTATAAATTCTTTCTCTGCCTTTTTAAAATGGAAATAGTTTTAAAAGTCTCTTGCCAGTCTTACAACCTTGAAATGTTTTCCTCGAGTACCTGGAACCCACCCCTTCCAAATATAATCATCTCAGATATAGCAACCCTATCTCCCAGGCTCTGTAGAAGCATAGGAGACTAACTCCCATGGGTGCCAATAAGTGAACACAGATGGCCTTAACACAGAAAAAGACATCGGCGAACTCAATTCAATATGCTTGACACATCCCACTGATCAACATTCCCCCTGATATCATCAGGTACTTTTCCTCTAGTTTATTGTAGCCCTTAAAAACTCTATCTCGTTTTTCAGTGGAAACAAGGTGAGACTGAGCTCTGGCCTCTCTCCCCTATTGCAATAGTCTTAAATAAAGTCTTCCTGGATTGTTTGACTTTGTTGAGTGCAATCTTTGCTTTGACCTCAAACATGAAAAAAACATAATAAAAAGATTTCCCAAGTTGAATGAAAGTAATTAAATGTGGCATTATCAATGAATTGTGAAAGTAAAAGAAACTTTTCTAAAGTATCAATTTTAAATGTTTGATCAACTCTGCTAGATAAAAGTGGATTATCTTTTTTAATAAAAATGATATTTCAGAATTTTTGACATATGAAAAAGTGATCCAGTATCCGTAGTAAAAAACTGTAGAAAACACTCTTACAGAGGTGAGTCAGGCAGTTAATTAATAAAAATGCTGTGTTACTTTGATGGAATTTTTAATGTCTATAGAGTTTATTATAATTCATTGTGATTTATTTTTATTAGAAATGAATACTAATTTTATGTCAAATTTTCTATTGACAATTTTCTATTCTTCTTATTAAAGAAAATGTCATCAAATTATATAAGGTTTAGGCTGCTCAAAAACTAGATCCACCTCTGCCCAGAACTAATCATTTGGAAAGTCACAAGGAAACAATCTCTTCCAAAATGTTTTCCACATTCATTCTCTCCTTTGCCACTTTACTTCATTTACTCTAAACCATTGTCTACATGCAGCATCACTTTGTGTTGCTAGGGCTAGCACAATAGACTTCTAATTTCTACCTAGTTCAATACCAAAAACTGGTTTATTCACTCCTCCTTTCTTCAGTGTGGCTGTCTGTGGCTTTGGGATTAGAAAACTAAATGCTGTATTTCACAAACTTGTTTGCAGATTGGTTTCTGCAATTATCTTAGTATACGCTATTAGATGAATGTGCAACTGCTACCTTCGGAAAGCAGACATGAGATGGAGGCCCACTTCCTGCATCTTGGTTTAGTTCTGCTGCTAAGTAAAGTCCTGGAGACATTCTCAGTCTCTGGTCACTAGCTTTGTTGTTTTAAAAATACAGCTGCGCCCACCCGCAACTAAGATTGAACACAGCACCTTGAGCTGAGCGGCTGCGAGCTGCTGTTAGGCGGCCGGATGGCAACTGGACTTGGAGCTGAGTTAGCTGCACCCTCCACAACTAAGATTGAAGGACAACAACTTGGCTATTCTGAGTCCCCAATTTCCCAATAAAATCTTTAAAAAAACACACACAAAAAAACCCCCAAAAAACAGCTGCATTGCCAATAGAAGCAGCCTTCTGATTCTTCACTGTCCTGATAGTAAGAAAACACATAGCTTCTCTTGGAAAGAAATTTCATTATGATATTTTAGGAATTAATACAGAAGGATCCTCCTCCAGTCAGTCCTTCAGATGACAGTGTAAGCATCTAATTCTCTGTGCCAAACTTTCTACTTAAAATTGCTAGGAGGTTTCCATACTACAACTGAACTCTGTCTGATAAACATGCTCTCTCTCTCCTCTGTAATATTTCTTCTACAGAATGATCTAAATAAAAAATTCCATTAAATTATACCCTATCCTTCAAGAATGAAGTCCAAACTTCTTAGTGGGCATTAAAGGCCCTCAACAATTAATGTCAACCCCAAAACACAGCTTCCTCTTACACTTCCATTTTTTAATTCTACCTGCCATACTCAGTAGGCAGGCTACATTACACAAACTTCTTTGAACTTATTTTGCATCTTTACTTTTCTTTGTCTTTACTCTAATGTCTTCCCAGGTCTGAGGTAGTTTTTCTACAACTTCTTGGACTTTGGAAAATATTACTTATCCCTAAAAGCCCCATTCCTTTTGTCAAGCTTTCATGAGCTTCTGAAGACAACCAATCACTTGCTTTCTTCAATCTCAAAGCAAATATATAAGTATAAGCTCCTTTGCACTTGTCACATTTCAGGAGTGATTTGTGGTTATTGTTAGAAATGGTTATGTGATTATCCCATTAGAGTATAAGCCCCAGACAGGAGAGGTCAATATCGTCTAGTTACTCTGCTACTTGCCATAATGTCTTACATGAGGTATCACATAAATGCATGCTGAATGAACAAGTGAACCAAAAAAGACCATATGTAATGCCCCCCAAATATTTACTAGTATATTTATTTTTGCCTGCACTGGCTGTGTTAAAGAGGGCATTTATGCTCAAGAAAAAAAATTGAGCTAAACATCACTTTTATTAATAATGTTTTTGCTATTTTTGTCTTAAGGTAACTCACTAAAATACATTTCCTAAAGACTTTTCTTCAAAGTTGAAACATCGAACCCCGCTTCACGGAGTATTCTTCCTTTCCAACTGTTCAATCTCAACTGCTTCACTAAGCAATGACCTCTGACTTGCCAAATGCAACTGGCTCATTTCTTTCCCATCTGATTTGAACCTTTTGCAAAACCTGACAATGTTACATCTTCCCCTTTTCTCAAAATGGTTAACCTTGCCTTTCATAATATCACATTTTTATTATCATTTTCATTAAATTTCTTTAACCATTTTCCTCCATGGACACTTTGCTGTCCACTCCTCTCCACACTGAAGGGTTCTGTCCTTTTAACTTATTCTTGAACATTAGCCAAACCACTACTTCAAATAACACTTGTACACAAAAACATTTGAATTTTTAAGAGTAATCATTTTCTGTTTTAAAAATATTTGACTATCCTCATATGTAAAGCTTTTTGCACGGTTTATTTTTTTGAGAAAAGTGCCTGGGTTACACCTTTAAAAAGGATAAAGAAGGGCTAATACAATGGTGCTTCTAAGTCACGAGTGATAGTATCAGCTTCAGAAGTCAGGTCAATAAGCACTTTAGGCCCTAAAGTGGAGGTGGGAGACATTATGCTTAAATATATTTGACTGTGCAAATAGCATTGTTTTCAGCAGGTAGAGAAAAATATGGTTATATCTGAATGATGACTCACCAGTTTATCAAGGTGTAGTTTGAAGATTTCTTTTTGACCCTGTGTTACATATAACAAGTTATTTGATTTACAAAATAAACTTTGTTATAACCGTGTTGCCACTGAAACACTGAAAAGTACTGAAATCAATTTGATTTCTTTTCTTTGGGTAAGCAGGAAGTAAAGGAGCATGCTACCTCATTTTCCTCCAGGTAGCTTTTATGATGGATATTAATCATATACACACATCTTTTTTCTCAGTGGTAAAAAGGCTCAGTGTTGTATACAGTTGGCTTATTCTGTACAATGTAGCCAGGCAGAATATTGAAAGCAAAACAATTTCATAACACTGAATGCTTTATGTTACAGGTAAAATCCCAAGACAATAAACACTGTTACCAAGATGAGGTTTTTATGACAAAACTGTTCTGTGATCTGGTATTGGTCATGATGGCATTTTCTTGAGCTGGCTAGGAAATGTTGTTTGGGGCCAGATCTTACAATAGTCAATTTATCTAACAAAAGTAGCTGATGGCATACTGTTTATACCATAGACACGGCAGGAGAGATGAAATCCTTATACCTTATTTATAGAGTACTTTCAACTTTCACAAACTGCCTTACCATCTTTTACCTCATTTTATTGTCATCTTAAATTTGAGAAACATGTGAAAGCAATAATCACTATCTTCACTGAGCAGATTGGAGAAATGGAGGCTTGAAGACTGAGCTAACTTCCTAATTTTGAGTATACACCCAAACCCCATGACTCCTGACCCAGATAGTGTTTTCTTCTGCTCGTATTGATTTTGATTTGTCATTAAAGAATATTTACTTTTTCCTTTGATTCATTCCAATTGATCTCACACCCCTCACACACATTTTCTTTTAGAAGGACGGGAAAAGAATCAGCTCAGCAGCACATTGTTTCCCCCACTGGCTTTACACTCTTATTTGCTGGGTTTCATTTGTTTCTACTCTATGAGACATACCCCCAAGTTTGATTTCTAACAACATGATCAATAACAAAAATCTATTCAGTGAACCAATTTGGAAGTTTAGTGGGAAAAGTAACTACGGTATCATGGCAACCACTTTTCTGCAGTGGATCTCAGTTTCTTCCATAACAAACAAACAAACAAACAAACAAACAAACAAACACAAAACAACAACAACAAAGACAGAAGAGAAATACCTGCCTCACAAGCATACTGAACAGAGCTACTGGCCTGCCCAGCTGCCCTGACCAAAACCTTGGGAACCCTTCCAGGCCTTTTCCCCTTTCCCTCACTGTCCAGGCCCCTAAAGATATCATGTGCTGTTGATTTTATGTCTAGAAAAGCCCTGAAATGTGTCTTTCCTTCTCTATCTCCACTAATTCTGTCTTACTTGAGATGTTCATCACTTTTTTGGGATTACTGTTAATGACGTCGTATTTCCTGTCTTGTCAATTTCAACTTAATTATGCTTATAGAGCAGTTCCAGGGACAGGTGCAATAGATAAACGCTGGGACTCCTTAGGACCCCTGTGTTTCTACTTTTCAATGTGTTCTTAATGCATCTGAATACTTCAGGTGGACAGTCTTAATTAAGTACAGATAGTTCTCTTCGACTCTTTCTACACTTACAATTTTTTATTTAGAAGATGTGCTGTTATTCATCAGCACCAGTAGGAACTAACAGGAAGTGCACATGGAGCCTATTAAGCTCCAGAGAAGTCAACCAAGCTCCCACTTACCAGGAACCAGTGTCTGCAGTGACGAATCCCAAATTTGCATACGTGCAGGATTTCCCATGAAATACCAATGCTCTCACAATTACCCCCATTGGAAAAGGTCATTTCAGATATGGAGATTTAATCTCATGAAGATGCCTACTGACTGTCAAAGTTATTTCACTGAATATGCTTCAAATGAACTTTTAGCTTTAGCCCGATTATACTGAGATACTCCCTAACATATACGTTTTGCAATAAAATTCCAAGAATATCTTCAATCCAATGTTCCTTGAAAAGGTAATTCCCATAAGCTGCTAGGAATTTTAAATTTAACAAAATGATACTTACTCCGAAGTTGGTAGCGGCAAATCGATCTGAGGCAGAAACCTGTACATTTGTTGAAACTGTTGTGTGAGCATAGAAAGCGTTTATATTCGCCAGCAAGGTGCTCATGACAGCAGGGACACCAGGGCACATGTATTTAGAAGACAGACACGAAAAGTGCCTGCAAGACAAAAACATTAAGCGCTTTTAAAACAGAGATTAATTCATTCACATAACAGCATATCCTCTAATGTCAGCAATTTAATAATTCCTCAACTACATATGAAAAGGAGAGAAAACTCCCATAATCTCTAATAGAGACAGAAAGCAATTTTAGCCATTTAAAAATTTCTCACAAATTTGCAGTGGCTTGCTTATACTCTGATTTGCCAGCAATATGTCCATAAAACCCTTCAGCTGTGGGAGTGTTGAATCTACACACCAAAAGTACAATTGCCAGTGGAATCTAGCACAAGTGGGAGGCCGTAACACAGAATTCTCCTTTTTGCCAGCAACTATGCCACCATGAGTTCCGGAAATGCTGTATTTCAACCAGAATGTTTTTCACACTTGTATTCCCCTCACATGGAGGAAGCAAGAGGCCCTCTTTGAACTGCACATTGATTAAACAACTGAACTTAACATCGGCCTTGAGTCCATTTTGTGAGCTTCTGTCATAAAGGATGATCTTCCATAAGCAGTTCTGTTTTTCAAGGATTCTTCTAATTAACCAGGATTTAATTAAACAAACAGATGAATAGTGAGGGTGGGCTGAATTATGCCAGTTTTATACTTAAAGACCATTTCTTTTCAATCTTGAATAATAGTGCCACATGCAGATATCAGAAGCAATAAGTGTTCGATCCTGTTACTTCTCTCAAGGAAACCTGTTTTATCTGAACTATAACAAAAGACTTGAAAATTGATAGCCCAGCTTATGATAAAAGTGAAAAGATAAAGTGCACATGGAGGAAAGAAACTTTCAGCACATAATCTGAATCTGTGTTTCTGTCGTATCTCGGTAATTTATCTTCCACCTAGACATCGATGATTTTTGTATTACTGACACAAACATGGTTTACGTACACGTCCATAGATAAATGACCTGAATAACATCTTAACAGAAATGGATGGTGTGCCTGCAGATGCTGGCTTCTCTTCCATCTCATCCAGGACACTTCCCTGGCTTGTCAGGATGCTAGCTAATAAAAGCAGGTTAAAGTCTTAAACATGGATCTTTGAGGATCATAAATGACAATATATGCCATGAGGGTTACATAATTTGTGCAATTAAACTGTGGAATTAGATTATCATCGGTTGTTTCTTTTAGGTAAATGTTACATATTTTGACTTTATTATACACCAAATTAATTATAACAAATATCTACTAAGAATCCCACAAATGATATACAGATATTAAAAGTAGAAATTATTAGAAAGATATGAAATTCAATTAAAAAGATATTAAAAGTAGAAACAAAATTTTAAAAACCCTAGTACTATGCTATCACATTTCTTTTTTCCCCTCAACAATTCACAAAGATTATATTTGTTAGACCCAAGTTAGAGGTCAAGAGTTGCAGAATAATGTTCTCTAGGTCCATCCATATCATTGTAAATGGTAAGATTTCATTCTTAATAAAATGGTAAATTGTTTAAAGAAAAAAAAAAGAGTTGCGGAATATGCATGCCTAAATGTAATGATGTGGGCGATGGCAAAAGGAAAATACACAAACCTGGGGGAACAAGAGATACAGAAACATCAACTGTCAAAATAAGCTGTTAAGAAACTCAAAGTGTACTGTCCTAAGCACGCGTTTTCTTTTTAAAGGGATACTAGAGGTCTCCAGAATGAATAATCTTGTTCTTGGTTTTGAAAAACGATTGATGCCCTCCTAACGCAGACATGATGCTTAGTCTTTACTTCTTGTAGCTGCCACCCTGTGATTGTTGGTGCCCGATTAGGGTGACAGCAAAAGCTTAGCAAGTCCTTTGAGCAGAAATAATGGAGAAGCACAAAAATATTCTGCTTGAGGTGCTCACAGTGTGAATTTTATAAGGGAAATAGAAGATTTTGTATTGAGGATGATGCAATTATGGATCATTGCTCACTGCTTCGAAGCCATCTGAGGAGAATACCTTCTCTGAATTTATCCTCCTCCCTCTCTCTTCCATGTTGTGTATTACTTGTGTATCTGTTTCTTCCAGAATGGGTGTAGCTCATGCTCGGTTGTCATCCTATCCACCGAGCCTCTAGGCAGTGTTTTCTTGTGCACAGGAGTGGACCAATAAGCGTGTATTAATGGAAGCAATGTGAGCTAAAAGGGCTGATGTAGAGTTAGTGTACAGGGCATGAGCTCACTTACCTTGAGTGGGACAGCTCATCAAAACATCCAATTGCTTTCCGAACATTTGGTTGACGTGCACAGCAGTTAATGCCGTGCGATGATGACAACTTTGAAGGTTAATAGTATTTTGCTTATAATCGGTATACTGAGAGCAGTATTTAAAAATTTCCAGAACATTATGCATGTACTCATCTTAGAGAACTGACAGAAATATTTTCTGAATAAAATTTAACTGAGATGATTTCTGGGGTGCATTGGGGAGTAGCTAGCTGCACATGACTCACCTCTTTAAATCTTCCATGAGAAAAACAGGATGTATATTCATACTGGCACTGGACATTAGGTTTACCAATCAAATATTTTTCAATATCTGGGAGGGACTTAGCCTAACTTTAGAGTGGCTGGCTAGATTAAGAGATATTCAGCAACTAGCATCTAAACTCCTAATGTATTCACCTGACTAGAGAGGACATGAGAGGCTATTTCTAGGAAGTATACACTGTATGCTCTTAAATCAGAGATCTGGGGCCTAGGCTGCTGGCCAGCAAGGCTCTCAGTCACTCCCCGATTCCATGCTAATGACTTCCTGAGGTAGTAAAACTGTCTCTTGTTTCCCACACTGTCTCACTCTATATCCATTAAACGACATACAACTCCTAAGGTTGTAATACAGCCTGTACAATAGGGAATGGGCAGTGAGAGTGAAGCTAGTCAGAAGAAAGGGCTGGAAGAACACTGGGAACAGTATACCTGGTACTTTGGGGATCATATATCATCTTTTATGTTCTGCTTCTAGCAAGACAAGAATTCACAGGTTGTTTATATTATCCAGGAAATAAGAAAATCCAGCTGTTACACTTAGAGCACCCACCAACAGGGGCAGGTGAATATCTTTTCCTAGTCTAAAGGAGAGCTGCATTTGAATAGTTATGGCAAAGAGTGAAACATTTTCAGAGGCTCACCTTCCAGTTTAAGGGCTGAGAATGAATGCTGACAACACCCAGATGGTTAAACAAAAACTGATTCAAAGGAACCCTGTAAGATGCCAAACAAGGAGGATGCACACGCACATCACACATATGCACACAGAAAAAACAATAAAAAACTTGGTACGAAATACAATTAAAATGGTCACAGTGTTATCTCTGGGTGGAGCTACAGATTTTTTATAATTTAAAAATATATACTCTGTATCATTAAAGTAATTTACCATTAGCATAGTTTATTTTTCTAATTAGAAATATATATAATATATATTATATATAATATATAATACATATTTTTTAAATGTTGTTAATTCAACTTTGCCCTATTGTTCATTTTACAACTCTCTCTGTAACTTTTAACACCAATAACAAAGTAATCCAACTCCTTTTAAAATTTTTGATTAACTAAAGTAAAATTTTCTTTATGCATATTTTTCCTTTTCTAAGAAAACTGTATAACTAAAGTATATAATGCAAAACTGTATAACCTATATTCTTTAACGTGCCATGAAACAAAATTTTTGTGGAAAAAGTCAAATCACCCCCCAAAATTTTTTTTTCAGAATTTATCATAGACCTTATTAATATCTGTTTAATAAGTGAAAACAAAACAAACCCATTATAAAATTACAATGAAATAGATATCAGTTTGATTTCACTAAATATATCAAAAAATTAATTTTAAAGGTATTAATGGAATGATCATGGGTCATAACTTCCTAAGACAAAACACAGGGATTTAACGATGTGAACATTAAATCCAGTATTTCACCTAAGGCTACTTTTCTTACCACTAGACTTTTACCTCAGTTTCAGTATCAAATTAGCATTACTACAGTGTTAGTCCTGTAAGCTGATTAAAATTGTAAGCAACACGATTTTTATTGTTTGAAAAAAGGAAAAAAATACATATATGTAGATCAATACAAATATGAGCCTATTAAGCTTGGTCAGATAGGTTGAACACATCTCAATATACCTAAAGACTAAAGACACAATACGTGGGAAGTAGTTGTCATCTCTTAGAATTTATATTAAAATGTTCTTCTTAGAGCTAGTGACTGGGGAGTTAATCAGTTGAAATACCAAGATTAAAATTGTAAGCATTTGATATTATAAAAAAAGTCAACCAACAACAAGTGTTGCTGAGGATGTGGAGAAAATAGAACCCTTATGTACTGTTGGTAGGAATGTAAACTGGGGCAGCCACTATGGAAAATATAGAGGTTCCTCAAAATATTAAAAATAGAACTCCCATAAGATCCAGCAATCCCACTTCTGAGTATTTATCTGAAGAAAATGAAAACACTAACTGAAAAAGATATATGTACCCCTATGTTCATCGCAGCATTATTTACAATAGCCAAGATATGGTAGAAACCTAGGTATCCATGGATAGACAAATGGATAAAGAAGATGTGGAACATATAGAAAATGGAATATTACTCAGCCATAAAAAATGAAATCTTGCCATTTGGGACAACATGGATAGACCTTGAGGGCATTATACTAACTAAAGTAAGTCAGACAAAGACAAACACCATATGATTTCACTTATATGTGGAATCTAAAACTGATGGCTGCCAGATGGGAGGGGGGTGGGAGATAGGTGAAAAAGGTGAAAGATTAAGAAATACAAATGGTCATTTATAAAAACAGTCACCAAGATGTAAAGTACAGCATAAGGAATATAGTCAATAATATTGTAATAACTATGTATGTAATAACTATAGATGGGTACTAGACTTATTGTGATTACTTTGTAAGTTATATAACTGTCTAATCACTATGTTGTACACTGGAACTAATATGATATTGTGTGTCAACTATAATTAAAAAATAAAGA